GGCGCCTGGGGGCGGGGCCTGCCGTCAGCGGGGCACCCGCAGAGCCAGTGACGCCGGGAAGGGCGCTGGAGGCCGCCAGGGACAAAAACCAAGGGGCTGAGGCAACCCCAGTGAGGCCAAGTGCAGTGTCGCCTTCATGCTTACAGCAGAGGACACCTGGACACCCATCAGAGCGTGGTGGGAGCGCGATGCCCGCTGCCCGAGCCCCCCCGTGCCAGCCCCAGGATGCAGCCCAGGACCTGGGGATGGGCAGTCTCCCCTGCAGCTCCGTGGGGCAACGCTTGTGAGCACAGCACGGGGTGTCCAGCACCTTCATCCCCTCATTGCCCCGCTGATCCTGGCACCACCACACTTAGTCTGGATGCTGCAGAAAGGCTGAAGGGAGACCCCGGGTTTGCTGGCTGTGACTTGGGAGGGTGCCTTCGGGCCAGGGGCTAAACCAGCACTGCAGCGGGCACAGACCCTGCAGCCAGGAGCTAGAGACTCTCGGGGTTTTGGACTCTCTCAGCACCTATGGAGTGACCATAGTGGGCAGCATGCCCAAACATACAGCAATCTTCTGCTTACTGGAGTAAACTTGCTTCCCATAGCAGCCTTTGCTGGCTCTCTGGGCGTAGTCCACTGCCACCAGGGTGGCAAGCACAGAGGCAGGATGTGGTCCAGGCGTGCCAGGTGGCACTAGCCATGCTGGGAGCCAGGGAGAAACTTGTCCAAGTGCCACATGCTGGTCAGTAAATGCTTTTTACCAGAGCATATCTCCCTGGGGAGACTCGGGTCAGTAGCCTGCTGACAGCAGGGGCAGGAACGGTGGGGACACTGAGTCTGGAGCATCTCAGCAAGGCACAGATATGTGTGTGGGTGGGGGACAGCCCTCCGCCCACACAGCCTGCGACGAGGTCCGGCCTGGAGCAAACGCCTCCTGGCACGGGTCCAGGCTGGAGCCGAGTGCTCCCCTACACAGAGCAGACAATGTCAGCCCTACCTCCCTTTCTGTCTGCAGAGCGCAGGAAGCCACAAGCAGTAGCCAAGCCGTAGGCGAAGGGCCAACGCACATTCCTTGGCCTGCAGACACAGGGGAGGAGGCGGCAGCAGCGACAGCACACTGCATTGCAGCACGGGGGCCGGGTGCTGGCAGCCGGACCCAGCACCCTGTGCGGACGCTCAGCCCGGGAGCGGGACCTGCGCGCTGGGATACCGCCAGGGCCCGCTGCTGGCAATGGTGCTCCCACTGACCCAGATCTGCGCTAGCCTCAGCTCCTCTTCTCCCACATGGAACCCTGCACACAAGGCAGCCGCCCTCCAGGGAGCGGAGACAGGCATCCCCCAGGCTGTGGGACCCCTCCGGCCACCAGCCAGGTCGCCTGGGCTGACGAGGGCCAGTCCTGTCCCACTGAGACTAGTGGAGGCAGCACTTCCCAGCAGGAGGGATTTGGCGAAGGGAAGCGCTGTGGGGGTCCCCCCCTGCCAATATCCCCCGTGTGAGCGCAGAACAAGCACAAAGCCCAGCTAAAGTGGGAATGAGGTCAGGAGACGGCCTCCCGCTAAGCTGATTAGAGGAAAGCATCCCCCTAATACAATAAACTGCGCCGGAGCAGTGCGGTTCCCACCGGTTGCAGATCAGGGTCAACCCATCTCCTGCCCTGCGGCATCTGGGGGGCGGAGGGATGGGGGACGGGAGCCAGACATGCCAGGGCCCCCGGGGGCTGCGCTCCCTGCCTGCCCCACTGGCTGCATGGGCAGACCCTGGGGCCAGGTAGAAGGGGCAGCGGGAACAGCCACCCTCCCTTTGGGCTGGTGTCAGGGCAGCCCCAGGAGGAGAGGGGGAGCAAGAACCACCCCCCTCTGCAGCCCATGCATGAGCTCTTGCCGGCTGCCTGTGCCTCAGCGCAGGGCTGCGGCTGACATGGCTGCCACCACTCGCCCGGCAAGCTCTCCCAACCCTGGGGCCCTGATAAGGAGCCGCACCCTAACAACCGGTCCAGATTTGCTCGTGGACTCTTGTCCTTGTGGCAATGTCAGCCCTCAGCTCGGGCTGCTCTCTGCCCTCGCCCTGCGATGCCACCACTGCCTTCCCACTCCTGCTGGCCTTCGCTGGTGGGGGCGACCAGAGCAGCTTCACCTCCCTCCCTGGAGCTCCCCTGCACACTCCTGCCTGAGGGTCTCTGTAAGGCAAGGGCACGAGAACTGGGGTCCCCTGGCCCCAAAGGACACATCAGTCTCTCTCCCTGCAGCGCTGAGTACCCCGACCTGCGGAAACACAACAACTGCATGGCCAGCAACCTGACGCCCGCCATCTACGCCAGGCTGTGTGACAAAGCAACCCCAAACGGCTGGACCTTGGACCAGTGCATCCAGACGGGTGTCGACAACCCCGGCCACCCCTTCATCAAGACTGTGGGCATGGTAGCTGGCGATGAAGAAACCTATGAGGTGAGTGGTGGCCGGAGCCCTGCCACACACCCGGCTCTCCAGGGTGCCTGCAGCAGCAGCCAGAGGAGTCCCGGTGCCTGCGGTACATCCAGCCACCCGGGATGTTACTGCGCACTGCCTCCAGCCCAGCATGGGCAGCTGGAGGGGCCCCTCGGCCAGCCCCAGTGTGTTCCTTCAGAGCCGCTGTTCCCAGAGCCCTGCAACCTCCTCCTCCTTGCCCATGCTTGCCCGCACAGTGTCCGCCCCATGGATTGCCACTGCATTGTAGGATGCACTGTGGCCCCCAGCCGCCCTCTGCATCCCCCCACTGCCACATGGGACTGCGCTGAGCTCATGGCGGGGGCTTCGTGGGGCGCTGGGTCTGCAGTGCTGCACATCGTCCCGTTTGCTTCCAGGTGTTTGCTGATCTGTTTGACCCCGTGATCCAGGAGCGGCACAACGGGTACAACCCCCGCACCATGAAGCATGTCACAGACCTGGATGCCACCAAGGTGCGCGAGCTGGGCAGCAGTGCGGCACACGGGGGCCCTTCCCCGGGCCTCGGGGGACGGGGCCCCTGCCAGCACCAGTGCTGCCCCGTAAGTGTCCCACGGCTCGTGTCTGTTCCAGATAAAGTTTGGCAACTTTGATGAGCGCTACGTGCTCTCGTCCCGGGTCCGGACTGGGCGCAGCATCCGTGGGCTGAGCCTGCCACCAGCCTGCACCCGCGCTGAGCGGCGAGAGGTGGAGAAGGTGACCGTGGAGGCGCTGAATGGCCTCACCGGAGACCTGGCAGGACGGTACTACCGGCTCAGCGAGATGACGGAGAAGGAGCAACAGCAGCTCATTGACGTGAGTTGGTGAAGCTGCTGGCCAGTCACCCTGGGTACCTGCGGAGCAGGACCCCTTCCCTGGCATTGCCTCTCCGGGAGGCCCTATCCTCCTTTCCCAGCCCTGCTGCCCTGTGGGACCAGGACCCCCTTCCCCAGCGAGACCGCCCAGCAGTGCAGAGGGTGCTCACGGGGCTGCTCAGCCCTCCCGAGCCGGGGGAGGATGGAGCTGGCTGAACACAGCCCCAACAGCTCACGGCCCCCACTGGCTCTTGCCCTGTGTCTCCCCCAGGGGCAGGTGGGCTCGTGGCACACGGCAAATGCCCCGCCAGCCCCTGTACGGGGTGGGCTGTGCACCAGCAGCCTTCTGCCTCTCTGGCCAGGAAGGCAGGGACTCCTGCCCACAGGTGGGGACAGCAGCGAGCTTGCCCTGCCTGGAACAATGCGGTTCATGGCAGCCG